CCCCGCCGGCGTCCTTCACTACTAACGGTGTGGCGGTGGTAATATTCTTAGCGACGGGAATAAAGACTCCTGGTTTCCACAATACACCAAGTTCAAGTTTTAAAAGTTCATTCTGCTCTATTACTATATTTTTTACGTTTCTTAGCGATATATTTTTATCTACTTATTTATTTAAAGTTTATAGCGGTATATTTTTTGAAACTTTTAAGATTTGAAGAACTGTCTCACATAAAACTATTTTATTGCAATTACGAAATAAAACAAAACCAATCGGATGAACATAATATAATATTATCGACTCTTATGACAGAAGTTTAAAGTCTATTTACAGATGTTTAGCTTCTAATCGTGTTGGGCGAGATGTTTTTATGTCCTTGAATTTGTATTCATGGAATTTAGATGTAAATCTATAATCTTTGAAGTTTGAATAATATGACTTTTCAATAATATAATTGTATTTCCTTATAGAGCTTCCTGATCTCTCTGATTCTTAGATGTTAATGACATTTCTTAATATTGAAATATAAGGATATTAAAAATAAATAAATATTGCCACCCCACTACAAATATTTCCACAGGGAATTCATTTTCTTTTAGGGAGGAAAATTTTATGTCTACAGAGAATACAAATAGAGAAGTCAGTCGATACCCCGCAAATCTGACAGGGTATATTCCAATGTGTTCTGTTGTGTTTATTCCTGAAGATGAAATTTCAATAAAGTGTTTAAGTAAATGGAATGAATATGTATATTTTTGTCATTTACATGAAATAATGTGAAAATGTCAAAATTTTTTTTCATGTCACAAATTTGGGAAAAATGATAATTTTAATTATTGTTCATTTCTAATTATTTTAAATATTAGAGACGGAAATGTGCGCGACTGAATACTGGAAGAGTGACTATACATTTCAGTTATGAACCTTTTCAAGTGTTCTCCTGCTCAGGTGATTCATTAAATATTATCTGTTGTCAGTTATATGTGACGTAAAAATAATATGATGTTAAAGATTAAGAATATCGGAGATTTTTCGGAATGGAGTTCCAATTCTTGGGTTGGAAATCCAATTAGTATTGTATTCACTCGTATGTATATACACGAGTACCTGTCATATGTTATTGGAAAGAATGGCTAGGTACTAGCTGTAAGATCATCATGATTTGTGATTGACAGTTGGTCGAAGTCAAAAAGGAAAGTAATTTAAAATAGCAGATGTTATTTTTATGGCAAGATTTGCATTGGAATATTCTCCAGTTCCTGTGGAATGTTATTTGGAAGAATGCCAAGGTCTTAGCTTCAAAAAGGTGACCGTGTCACATGATCCACTGTTGGTCGAAATCGAAAAACAAATCAAGTAAAAAAAATCAAATGTCGCTTGTTCTACAGAGATTTGCCTACTATAATGACCATGATAAGGAAACACTTTCGTATTTTCTGCGCCAAAACGCGTTGCATGCAAATACACCGTCCAGTTGCAGAACGTGGGCGCGCGGAGAGTGCAGATTGGACGTTTCGCGCAGCGGCCGAAGAGGGTCCGGTGTCACTTTCGGAAGAGCATGCAAATGCCCGCGCGCTCGTATCGCGCGGCCAGGCAGGGATTATTCCCCACGAGTGTGCGGGCGTGTCCGTAGGCGCGTCCGACGCGACGCGACGCGATGCGACGCGACCCGACCCGACGCGTTCGAGTTATCTACGCAGCCCAACGGCCAAGTATGACTAACGTGACAGCCCGTGGAAGTCCGCCGACACCGGCGACGGGGGTGGGACGTCTGGGACAAACGCTGCACTGCGCCTGAAATCTCCGGGTTCTGCCGAGCTCTTCCCGTCACCGGCGCTCACGACCAGCGTTGGTTGAACGTTCCCTCCTGACACTGTAACTCCCGTCACGTCGGGAACCTGATGGTTCGCGAGAGGTGCAACGTCCACATTCAATTCAGTTCAAATGGAAATGAAGTTCGTGTTTGCCGACTAAGCTTTGATAGTTATCAGAACATTTTTAAGTAATGGATTAGGGTCAATCTAAAGATATTTTGCACTTCTTTATGAATATGATAAGAATTATAACAATCCATAATCTACAATGTACTATATGAAACGAAAAATACTTCGAAAAACTTCTCATGTATTTTAGTTAAATAAACAAATTGCCGATTAAATGAGTAATTTCAATATGTAGAATGAGAAAGCTTAAAAAATAAATTTCTCGAAATTATGAAATCATTGAAGTTTCAAATATCAATAATTCACAAATATTAGTTTTGCCGCAGCAATTCATATTCTTAATGTTTACACGTGACCTGTGGTTCAAAGATCTACATATAATGCAAGATACGTCCCTTGTTCCTGAACCATTCGGAACTTTTTTCGGAGAATTCGATCGCAAAACACGTCACTCGCACAAAAAACGGAGACGTTCCGATCTCCGTGACTCGGTAGGCGCGCGACGCACAACGCCAGATGCGTATCGCCCTTTGCGCGTCGCATGCGCGCGGGAGAAGGAGAGGGCGAGGGCGGCAAGGACGGCAAGGGCGACGGGGGTGACGGGCTTGGCGGAGGCGTCGGCTGGGGCGGCGACAGAGGCGCGTGAGGGAGCAAATTACAATTAATACCCGGCGGCCGCGGACGTCGCTTCCTGTTTGCGGTTCGATCGCGTCGACCCACTTGGCGGCGTACTGCTGTCGCGCCCCTCGCCCTCCCTCCCACGCCCCCCACCTCTCCCGATCACGCACCTGATCGCGCACCCGCTCCTCCTATTGTCCATTCGCCACCTGACCGCATGGCGTAATAATGTGAGTGTCGTTGACCGGGGAGTTTCGAGTCATGACTGTGACGAATTTTGAACTCTGCCTTCAGAGTTGTATCGGATTCAACTGCTATCCGGAGAAGAATTCTAGCATTCGACTGCTCCGATTGGTAGTTTTCTGTCGTTTCTCTGATCAATACCATGCGAATGCTGGAGCAAACTCTTAACAAACGGACCACGGGCACAGCACGATTTTTGCTTTCCCATACATACTTTCTCCTTACACACTCCCATACACACATGCTCATCTGTGCCACACATATTGGGAGCATATATCTTGACTCAGCTGGTGTAGTGTCCGGAGGAGGAGATCCTTAGAGAGTAAAAAACTTACAAATCGGCGTAGAGGTCGGCACTGAATTTCACTTTCCAGTGGGGAACCGGCAGATTTGGCTTAAAACTAGCATAATCTTTGTTTGCGCGACTCTAGTCGCAGTGTCCTTTTGAGGGATCCACCTGAGGAAGATCCGCGTATCGACGTCTAGGTCGGCGCCAATTTTGCTCCCAGAATTAATTCTCACTCACTCACGCGACTCTGGCGTACGATGAAAAAGTATAGATGATATTGTTTTAAATTAAAAATAACCTATTGTCATTTGATCTATTGTCACTTGAGATTGTCAAGGATATATTGCGTTTTTTTACATTGATATGTTGCATGAGTATATCAAGTTACGTGGGCGATGTATTTAACATGATCATTACTTTGTTAACATTTCTGTCTTTGTGACTCATGTTTCAATACGACTCTCATGTTGTAAAATAATGGGAATTTTTTGAATGATAAATCGTAATACGAAGCTATTTTCTTTTCCAAACGTCTGTATGATACGTACGATCATTAAATAATCGAGAATAGGAATACGTATTCAAATTCAGTACAGAATAATATATTCATGATCATTTACACTAAAATTACCCTTTTATGTAAGTATATAAATACATTTTTCCTTACGCTCTTCAGCAACGCCGTCTTTGCCGTCCTAAACCATTACATTGCCCATTTCTCAGTGATTGTACGAATTTTTCTCTCCGCGAAGCCAAATGCATTATGCAAACCTAGCTCACAAAGGTCTCCCAGAAGCCGTCTCAGAAGGAATTGCGAAGTATCGACAACACGTATGCCGCATTACATTGTCAGCAAGAAATGATGTTAAAAAGACCTTGTTTCACCCAGCCTTCTTTCCGTAGTTGAATAACAAATAGAGCGAATCTGAGATGTTATTTGAGCATTTGTTTTCCTTTCTCGGTACTCTTTAAACGAGAATCGGGCTGTGAAAGTAAATATTCAGAAGAGTACGCTCTGATGTGGTGGCAAAGCAGCCCGAAGTAGCGCGTAAATGTTAGAGGTCTTTCTTGCAGCAGGTATTGTTTAGGGGCGAGAGTTCCTGGCTTTCGCGAGCGGGTTTAGAGCGACACAAACGTTCCTGCGCGGCGGCCGATTCCGAGGCGGCGGAGAAAGGCTACGTAAAGCCGCGAGGGCGGCAAGGAGGGAGGCGAGGAAGGCGGAGGCGGGGCGGGCGGGGCGGAGCGGGGTGGAGCGGAGCAGCGGCAGCGGCGGCGGGGAAGAGACGGGTGAAGGAACGCTACAACCGGGAGAGGGAGGTATTATACGAGCGTAAACAAGCGGTGCCGGAGACGACCTGAGCGATGGTCGCCAGCTGCCGCCGCAGCCTCAGTCTCAGCCCCCTCCTCCTCCTTTTCTTCCGCCTCCTCCACCTCCGCCGCCGCCGCTGTCGTCATCGTTGTCGCTGTCGTCGTGGTCGTGGAGTTTCCGCATCTCCGTCTTCCGCGATCTCCGCTTCCGCTCGCGCCCCCGCCCCAGTCCTTCTTCGACCCCGACCTCCCCACTCGGAATACTGACGCCTTTCCGAAGTGCGCGGGGGCGTGTCTCTTTTACGTCGCCGCCTTCGGAACGAATTTCAGCCACGTGAGAACCATTCTCTCTTTAGGTTCCTGCATACTGTTATGGAAACATCGATAGAGAGACGGAAGAAGTTTTACACAAGTGAGGAAGTCAACTGCTGCGTTCACGACGATAGCTATTAATACACGTTCCGCGTTTACAGTAAAATAAAAATAACTTTTATTTTGTATGTGGTGTTCTCTCTCCCACTAGTTTTAAAATTGAAAATTGATGGGTGTAGTAAACGCGTTTTCTTAATAACTGTAATATTTCAGAAATATTATTTACGAGATTTGCACGTGTACAGAAATGAGTGAACCTGTTGAAAAAGCCTTCATGAAATCTCACATCAATTCCATTATTTTTTACGTAGAATCGTTGTAGTTTTAGCGTATTATGATTTTCTAAAGGACTACACAAAAAATCCAATTTAAAATGTAACCTGGAAATATTTATTTTTAAATTTAAGTTACTATATTTTACAAGAATATAATTATTATTTCAGACAAATAAATCGACATTTCCTCTCAGTGATGCAAATTTGCTTTTTAAAATTCCACCAAAGAATTGAAGTATATAGGATAAGAGAAGGAAAATAGGTTAGTGTTTGTGCAGAGAGTAAACGTTGTTGTTGTTGTTGTTGTTGTTATTAGTGTTACAGCTTTGGATTTCAGCGTTATGTGCAAAAGTAATTTATGGTACTTGTGATGCATTACGACCAGGAGTAGCATCTCGCTAGATCTCTTGCGGGAAGGAAAAGAAGGTTGCATATTCAAAATACTTTCCTGCCAAAAATTTATGATGGACATTTTTGGTTGTTGAACTTCTGCAAACGTTTCTCAATTAATTTTTCAGTTATCGTTTTCACTCATCACTCATTCTTTTCATCAATATCTCTCAGCAATATCCAACGCTTTTGAGCGAAACAGAAAGTATGTTTATTTTATTGGTTATTCGTAGGTCATTACATATAAATGGAATATAAATCAAATTAAACTCGAATAAAATATTTATAGACAGTTTTCTATAGAGAGTAACAAAATTCAAAACATTATATACTACATAATATATTTGAATCTGCAGATGTGTGTTTTAATCCGGAACGCATATTTTGTTTTCTCTTGCTCTGAATTACTTCTACTTTGAAACGTTTTTTTTACAAATTAGACAAAATAAAAACCAAACAGAAAGACCAAAAGAAGTACATTAGACATTATTAAGATTTCCCTGCATCGAGATTTGAAAATTGCTCTTGACATTGTTTCTTGTATATTAAATGCATAAATGTCATGTATGAATGATGTGTACAAAATTGTATTCATGATAATTCATTTTATTAAGAAAAACGTTCGTTAGCTTTATTCATATACTCTGCGAATCCGTTATATCTTGATGGAAAAATGGTGCAGTAAGTGACCCGTGATTTTAAGTAAATCCCTTTGGTTCGCTGTTGTAAACTGGGTAGTGATTATACGTACATTGATGGCGTTGAAAACACGAGGAATGAGAAATGCTTAAGAGCGAGATTTCCCCATTTATATAATTCATAGTTCCTTACAGTCCTTAAATCATCCATAAACGCACAGAACCGTAACAACATATGAAGGTTGAGCTCCGGACCCCAAGAGCCTACGTCCAAAGCAACTGCCCCTGCAGCTAGGCTAGCAGGAGGCGTCGTCGAAGGCGCCCTGAGCGCCGCGCCGCTGCAAACGCTGCTCGGGTAACAAATCTCGGCGGCCCGGGGGCGAGCCTCGGCGAGGGCGGGAAGAGAGAGATTCACATCATTCCATTATTTTTACGTAGAATCGTGTCAAGTTTTAGCGTTTATGATTTTCTAACAGGACTACACAAAAATCCAATTTTAAAATGGGTAACCTGGAAATATTTATTTTAAAATTTAAGTTACTATATTAACAAGAATAAATTATTATTTCAGAACAAAAATAAATCGACACTTTCCTCTCAGTGATGCAAATTTTTTGCTTTTAAAATTCCACCAAAGAAATTGAAGTATATAGGGATTAAGAGAAGGAAAAATAAGGGTTAGTGTTTGTGCAGAGAGTAAAACGTTGTTGTTTGTTGTTGTTGTTTATTAGTGTTACAAGCTTTTGGATTTCTAGCGTTAAATGGTGGCAAAAGTAAATTTATGGTACTTGTGAATGGCATTAGCGACGCAGGAGTAAAGCCATCTGCTCGGCTAAGAATCTCTTGCGGAAGGAAAAGAAGGTTTGCATATTCTAAAATACTTTCGCTGCCAAAAAATTTATGATGGGGAATTTTTGGTTGGTTGAACTTCTGCAAACGTTTCCTCAATTAATTTTCAGTTATCGGGTTTTCAGCTATCACTCATTCTTTTCCTCAATAATCTCTCAGCAATATCCAACGCTTTTGGGAGCGAAACCAGCAAAAGGTATGTTTATTTTAATTGGTTATTCGTAGGTCATTACATATAAATGGAATATAAATCAAATTAAACTCGAATAACAAATATTTATTCAGACAGTTTTCTATAGAGAGTAACAAGAATCAAAAGCATAATATACTATCATAATATATGTTAATCTGCAGAATGTGTGTTTTAATCGCGGAACGTCATATTTTTGTTTTCTCTTTGCTCTGAATTAACTTCTACTTTGAACGTTTTTTTAGCAAATTAACAAAATAAAAACCAAACAGAAAGACCAAAAGAAGTACATTAGGACATTTATAAGATTTCCCATGGCATCGGGGAGATTTTGAAAAATTGCTCTTGACATTGTTTTCTTGTATATTAAATGCATAAATGCATGTATGAAATGAGTGTAACCAAAATGTATTCATGATAATCATTTAATTAAGAAAAAACGTCGTTAAGCTTTATTCATATACTCTGCGAATCCGTTATATCTTGATGGAAAAATGGTGCATAAGTGACCCGTGTTATTTTAAGTAAATCCCCTTTGGTTTCGCTGTTGTAAACTGTGGGGGGTAAGCTGATTATCACCGTAAAGCTTGATGGCGTTGAAAACACGAGGAATGAGTAAATGCTTGAAGAGCGATGATTTCGCCCATTATACTAAATTCATAGTTCCTTACAGTCCTTAACTGCATCCATAACCGCACCAGGAACCGGGGTTAACAACATATGAAGGGTTGACTTTTTCCGGACCCCAAGAGGCCTTACGGGTTCAAAGCAAACTTGGCCCCTTTGCAGGCTAGGCTAGCAGAGGCGTCGTCGAAGGTTTCGCCTGAGCGCCGCGCCGCTGCAAACGCTGCTCGGTAACAAAATCTCGGCGGCCCGGGGGCGAGCCTCGGCGAGGCGGCGACGCGGGCGCGGAGGGGTGGGGCGGAGGGTGGCGGGAAGGGCCACGGGGACGCGGCAGGTCGGCGGGGCTCGCGGCGCTCGCCGTGACGAGGGGCCGAGGCGGGCCGCGCCGGCGCGTGAGGCGTTCGCGGGTCGGGGCGGGACGGCTCGCGGTGGGCGGGAGGTGGCCCGAGCCCCCGCGGCGGCTCCGAGCCGGGCTACAGCCGCCGGCCACTTTAAACTCTTTCATGGCGCAATATGATCGAGGTCCATTGTAGCGCCAGTCAATTACGCCAATCTGAATTGTCGGTCAACCCCCGGTGAAAAAACAATAAACAAAAGTTTTCGGGATCAATTATTACATTTTGGTAGCTCCCGGGATGATAAGTTCGCGCTAAATATACCCCGTTCGGCTCTCCCCGCTCAATTTTTTTCCGACCACTTATCTGACCAATAAAATTCGTTAGCTTAAAAATTCCGAATGCGAGTAAACAATCATATCTGTAAAAAAACTATCCACCGCAAAATGAAAAATCAAATCTGACGTAGGATGCCAAAGTGGTGCGCGGTAACTGGCTCGCCTAGTGGATTTTTTAAAATGTATTTGATCGGCTCGCGTGATTGCAAAGGCTTCCAATTAACTGCGGCTTGGCTTCTAAATTAATAACACTGCGAGATCGGGCTCCGTGGCGCTGCTTGCGGCGGAGAACTCAATAACCTTTCCGATAATGTATAGGCTTACCTAGCAATCAGGCTTCTCATGAATTGTGGTTATTGTGCGTTGCACGTATCAGGGGCCAAATGAAAAGCGCTCAGTGCCTTCGGGAAACAAATTTCATCGGGGAGATTAGCGGGTTGGCGGGGCGGCGGCGGAGGGCGAGGCAGCGGGCGGAGTTGGGGGGCCCGCAGGCGGCGAGGCTGCGAGCGCGAGGCGGAATTTGGAGCGGGGGCAGGCGCGACGGCAGGCAGACGCAACGCAAGCGGGGGCGAGGGCGAGGGCGAGCGGCGCCATTGCGGCGAGCAGGGGGCGCGGGGGCGCGGGAAGGTGGAGCGGGAGGCGGCGCGGGGTGGCGCATGCGCCCCGCTCGCGCGCGCGCGCCCCTTCTCGCACCGGCGCGGGCAGCCACCGTCGCGGCCGCCGCCGCTGCCGCCTCCGTGGCTGCCCCTCAGCGGCTGCTCCGCGCCAGCGCTTTTCGGCGGCCTACCCCTCGGCGACGCCACCACTTTCGGGCGCGGCGTCCACCGCCGCGGCGGACGCGCACATTGTTGGAGGCTCGGCCCGCGCTCCGCGCCTCTGGCGCGCTCTGGCCCGCTCTGGCCGCGTGCGCCGCCCCGGCCGGCCCGCGCCTCGCCCTGCCCGGGAAGGAGACGGCCGTCTCGGCGAAGATAAAAATGGTGGTGGGTCCATCTGTCTTTAACATCGTGAAATGGTAATCCCGCCCGTAATAGTTTCTATAATGACGGGTAATTAATTAATTAAACATTTTAAAAGGTGCCAGATTACTGTTACGACTGAATGGAATTGTAAAAAGTAATATGATATAATTATAATAT